AAGGGTGGGGGGAAGCATTTAGCTCTAAGGGTAGAGCTTTGGCAGAAACTTGTCTCATAGGATGTGTCATGCTGTTGCTGGGTGATGTTTTTTCTTTTGCCAGAAGTGTGATTATGTTTAGTTATTCCTTATGTAATATTCACATATGAATTGCAGTAAAGCCATTGCTTACATTGTGGATTTTTTTAGTTACACCATATAAAACCGTTTTAAACTTGTATCTGTTAAGTAATGTTTTACGGTACCTTAAAATCTTAAGGTATTTTCTACTCTCTTACTTGGATAATGGAATCCTTTTTTGTAGGGACACCGTTAGCTTGTTTGTACACAGAAACAGAACAAAATGCTCGTCATTCACTAAACAGGTTAAAAAGACAGTAAAAAAGGTGTGTTTATATCTTCTGATGTTTCCAGGTAGAGTAAATTTAGTGTTACTCAAGTTGTCTTCTAGAACTGAACTGTGGTGTCCAGGCTGGTCTGGTAGTTCTGCTGACCAGGCAACCATATTAGATGTTGCTTTTAATTATGGGTTTTAATTTTCAGGAAACTTTTTTTTTTTTTTAAACATGCGCCCTTTTTTGCTTGGCATTTTAAATCCTTTTTGGTTCGTTCTATTCTGTAACAACCACTATATTTGCTTATTATAACAAATGACAACCACTATATTTGCCAACTAGCTTTCTTTTTCAGAAAACTATGAACAGAAGTACTCTCAGAACTGTTGTGGTTTTAATCCTGTGGTGACTTCCTTTACTGTTAAATCTCACAAAAAGTTATGGGAATAGTTTCATTTAAAATCCTAGTCATGACAAAACTTTAAAATTGGTGGGATTTGTTTCTTTTTTGGTTTCTTTTTTGTTGTGGGGAGGGACAGGAAAAGCTGTAGCAACTTCAGGCCTAGCACTGCATAAAACATTTGTTTCTTGTGTCCTACGTATTTACAAGTCTAGTTGTTTGCAATATTATTTCTCTCAAGTGTTTGGAATATAGTCAAATCGCTTTATATGTGTATTTAATCACTTAAAATATATGTGGATATTCCAGGAAAAAATATTTTTTACATTGGTTGAGGTCTTTAATTACTACCTTATTTTCAGGGTTAGCTGCTTTAGCTGTGTGCTTAGAAACTTCTTACAGGAGACTGATAAGTCTGGTCTTGATTTTGCACTTAATAGGACACATCTGAATCATGGATTTTCCTCTGAGTTACTCAAATGTATTAAAGAAGGGGATGTAGTGTATTGGTATGGGAGAAAGGTGGAGTTGAATGGTGGGGGGGTGTCAGAAAGATGCTTCAGCCTCCTTTTCAGTATCTGTATCTGCACTGGATGAGAAAGGGAAGACAAAAGGCCCCATAGTCTCTTCATGGATGGTGGTAATTTAAAAGGTAAAGACAGACTGGGGAATGATGCATGGAGAGTCTTTAAATATATAAGAATTGTACCCTAACAGAATTCTTGAAGGGAATTGTTGCAGAAAGTCACATAAAAATGTCACCTCCCTTTGGTTTTCTACACTGTGTATTGGACAAGGACCAGGCCACTTTGTTTTGACAACGTTATGTGCTGCTTGTTTGGCTGACTTCATTATATTGAAATTAGCGTGCTTGTTTAAAATGTGCTGATAAACATAAACTTTAAATAAAGCATTTAGGACTCAAGCAGCATAATCTGTCTGATTTTCTGAAGTGCTCTGATGACACAACTTCATAACATGAGGGTGAACATACGCATGTCCCTTTGACTTTTGTTTTCCTTGAAAAATGTCAGAAGTGGTAAAGTTTTTGGGGAGTTTGTTTTGGGGACTCTTTTTTGGTATAAACCTTTACCTATGTTCTGGTTTACAGTCCTGTTTCAAAGCATGGTACGTTGAATATTTTGAACAAAAAATGTGTTAGTTTCTATTCTAGAAAAAGCTATTCCTTGAGGTCACTTAAAAAACAGACATTGACGTATACACAGAATTGTAAAACAAACCAGAATCTTAACAAAAGTTCATATATGCCTAACCAAAGAGTGAGATGAGCAAATACAGTAACTTTCCCCTCTTAACTATTTTGGGTTCAGTTAATTTGCCGTAGTTAGTAAGTTTTGGTGGATATCTTTTTCAGCTCATGCAGCCTCTTTCAACTCATATAGCCATTCAGCATCCACAGCATTCCTTTAGTAAGGAGCTCCACAGCTTAATTGCACACTGTGTGAAGAACTACCTCCTGTCATTTATTTTGATCCTGCTTGCCAGCCCTGTCTGGTGTCCCCCCTGCAGTTGTCATTTCTTTACAACCTAAAGTGTCCTAGTTGCAGTTGATCCTTTTGTGAAATTTGTTTTGCTACTTGGCATTTCTTGCCTCCCTTCAAAGCTTTTTTTAGGCCTTCTGTATTGTCTTTTGAGATAGGAATGGGTAGGTAGCAAACCAGCATGCAATTTTGTAGATACGGGGGATGTGCTATGGTTTTGAGCAGTTAATGCTCTGCTTTGTTTTATCGTATTGCTGTCCTAATATTTAATTTGCTTTCTTGGCCATTGTGATGAGCACTGAGGTGATTTTTCATTAAAACATCTACCATAATAACACAATCTTGCTCTTGGGTGGCAATTGTCAGTTTGAAGGCTGTCATATTACATGTTAGGATTGTTTTGTTCCCTAAGTACCACTGCACACTTGTCTATGCTGAATTTCATTGCTCACTGTCATAAATCCTTTCTGCAGTTCTTTACAGTTATCACTTTATGCTACCAAGAAAAAAAAACCCAGTATCATCACAAAATGCTGTCTCATTGCTTGAAAACATTTATGAACATATCTATGCTGTGCCTCTCGGGTCAAAAAAGTGTTGTGAAAACACCATAGTGGGAACTGATGTCTTATTTCTGCCTTTGACCATTTGGAAGCTGAAACCAGTGAAGGACGTTCATTCTGCGTACTTTGTTTCTCCTAAGGCTTTTGTGTTTTCCTGTACAAGGGACCTTGTTAAAAAGTATTTCAGGGAACTCGCAATAGGTATGTGAGGAAGTACTATTTTATAAAGTGTTTATTCTTCCTTGTAAGAGGAAGAGTATTTATCTACAAGTCTGCAAATTCTCTTCCAGTTGACCTAGATATTTGCTGCATTAAGCTAACAGATTTTCAAACAGGAATTATTAAAACAACTTTGGTGGAAAATTAAAATCTACTTACAAAATATAAATGAGTCTCAGCTGTTGTTGGTGAGGAGAAAAAATTGCTGGTCTCATTATCAGTAACTGCTTTCCTTTGGAGCAACTATAACCAAACTGTCAGAAATGGAGCACTGGCCTGTTCATGTTGCAGAGCCTTAAAGTTAGGCATGCAGCTTTGGAACTAAAAATGTAGGCCACTTAACCTGACTTTATTTAGTTCGCAAGGAATTAGACAAATCTAAATGAGTTTCATAGACTTTTAAGTTAGAAAGAAATCCTGAAGAGGGATATATCTGATTTTTGGTTTAGTTTATGCTTTGTTGGCCAGCCTGGCTCTTGAGATAGGTGGCCAGGTGGAACTAGGATTGGCACTTCATAGCTTTCTGAAGGCTGTTACTTGTCTCTTCCGTATGCTATGGAGTGCTTTACTGTTCTCTTGACAACATGGCTGCTGGCATTGTGTTTCCCCACCTGCTTCTCACTTTCTCTGGATGTAGCGGATCTCAGTTAGGTTTCCTCAGCTGCAGAAGAGTGCCCTAGGCCCTGAAGTGCAGCTAGTCCACTCTTCTGCTTATATTGAAGCTGTGCCATGATGGTGAAAAAAGTAAGGCAAGAGTAAGTGAGCAGAGGGAGCCTGACTGTAGTGCAATGAGGTAAGCTATGCGCCAGAGTGTGGAAGAAATAGGGTTTTCAGGCTCTGCTTGGAATACTGCCTGTGAGTCATGTCTTAGGTGTTGATTAAAGGAGGAGAGACAACCCGAAGCCCTTGGCCTTCTACTTGCTAGGGGACAGCAGCGTAACAACTAGTCTGTCACAGAACTGGTGGGTGCATTTACAGACATCTGTTTTATTGCTGTGCTTCATGCTACACTCGATGCTGTGTGTTGTATACAGGAAGTGCTCTAAATTTTTTTGTGTTCAAAACTTTTTAAAGTTTTTTGTGTTCAAAAAACGGCTAGATGTGGCACTTCGGGACATGGTTTAGTCTTGTCTACCCTTGATTGGCTTAGAGTAGACTTGGTAGTGTAGATTAATGGTTGGACTGGATGATCTTAAAGGTCTTTTCCAACCTAAACGATTCTATGATTCTATAAACGGGCTGGGCCTTTCAGAGGATTTCAGTGTAGGGATACTCGTGTAGAAATATCAGAAGGTGCTGGGTTATTGAGCCTCCCAATATGGGCATAGGCAGTCCCAGAAATTTGCATTAATACAAACAAGATTGACTAGATGACAGGGCAAGGATTTTTCTCCACTTTCTCCATTAAAACACCAATTTTTCACCTTCATGTTTCTCTATAAATAGTGGTGCAGTTCCATAACTGTAGATCAGGGCATAACTAGCCTTAGTTCCATCGTGGATAAAAAGGGCTGAATTTACAGACAAGAAAGGGTGACCGGTATGTTTGTGCCTTTCTCTGCCGACATAAAGGCTAGAAGAGCGCAGGCTAGTCGTTCCCCTCTTTGAAAGCTTTAGAATGGAATGTCTGGATATTGTTATAGATTCTCTAATTTGTATCCTCTTGCAAAATGAAAACTTGTGTTTAAACACAGAGTGTAGTATTGACTGTGATACTATGTAAGAAGAAAGTATTGCCTGCCTTATCCTTGGAAAAAAATAGTTGAAGGTCCTTTATCATATATCTTTTATGATTTAGGTCATAAAGTTGGGGGGGGGTTGGTTGGTTGTTTGATAACAGAAAATGGTCAGTTTTTTGGTTACAAACCCTACTTCTGAGGGAGAAGGAGGGGAGATAAAGCGGGTACAGTATTAACTCATTATTTCTGACTAAAGAGAGTGTTTTCCATTGTAATATATATTTAAATGTTTTTGTCACTAGGTTGTTGAAGACTATGCTGGAAGATGGCAGGTTCCTTTGCCTCAGCTTCAGGTGCTTCAGACAGCACTCTGTTGTTTCACGTCTGCCTGTGTATCATTCCCAGCTGAATGTGAGCACGTACAATACGTATTGAGTAGCCTAGCTTTGTAAGTACATCTTTTTTTTTTTTTTTTTATTACTTCCTTTAAAATATAGACTGTCTGTGTTACTTTTATAATAGCAATAGGGCCTCAGAGATCCTCAGAGCTTTTAAGAGTGGTTTTACCAGGCGACATAGCTACAGGGATCCAATAATTGCTAACTGAGGATACAAAACCTAGAATTTAGTTTAGTCTTTTTATGTCCTTGTTAAATATTCAAGTATTTAACATCAGGTATTACAATGTTGTGTCATAAGGGTATTCTGGCAAAATGAATCATCTAAAGAAATAAGTGATCACCATACAGACTTCTCTTTGGAAAATCTTATTTTGGAGAATTTGAAGACTAACCTTTGACAGTACATAATTGTAAATAATTTCTCTAAAGTTTTTACTGTTCTACCTCTAGTGATGTAATAAGCGAAGTATTTGTTAAGATAAATTTCTTGTAATGTTTCAGAAATGAGTAAATTTTTAAAAGTATTTTTGTGTTTGAGTCATCAAAATGCTTATGAGAATGACTTGTTATACAGTTAACTGACCAGAAGTCATGTTTAACTTAAAGAACTGCAGAATATTAGGTCATAAATCTTGCTATAATCTCAGTTTTCTTGATGCATTGCTGGTTTTCCCACATGAAGGCTGAAAGTGTCAGGGTAATGATCACTAGATAAGTAAAAGTCCTGTTTTTTTCCTTGCTCTAAAAACCTACTTTTCAGGTTTCTAAACCTCTGTGTTGAATGGAAGCAAAAAAAAAAAAAAAATCTTGGTGTTAGGTATACTTAGCTGAGATGCAATGTACTTGATCTTCTCTCAGCAGATGGAGACAAAAACCATAAAGCTAGCTTCATTGCCAGTTTGGTTGGAGTAAATCAGATTTATTTGTCCAGCTGGTTAAACTGCTTTCTTGTTGAGCAGTGCTTTCAAATACAGCTTGGTATCTCAGTTTGGAATTTTATGTGGAAAAGTCTCGCTCCTGCCTTGTCTAGTCATCAGAAGTGAATGCTCTTCTAGTCTTCCTCTCTTAGTTTACTTGGTCAGGAGGACTGGGTTACTTATCCTTTCCACTGTTCTTGAGCTATTAGTACTAATTGCATAGGAGTCCAGGCTTTATTCTGTACACTTAAAAAGTATATGCTGTCTTCTGGTGAAACTTCACCAGAGACATTTACTTGTGTGTGTGTGTGAGAAACTATTTTGGGGCTATGTACCAAATCATAAGACCACGATTTTTAAAACTGGAATGCTGAGGTATCAGAGAATGACTAGCAGTTGCACCAAAACATGGAGACCTCTGGGTTTTTTTCACTAGTTTTTAGAAAAAAAAAACTCATAAAGTTCAAACCATGCTTTTATATACTTTTAAATATCAAAGCTTGGGAGGGAAAAAAGGTAGAAATTCAAGTATTTATATGTAGGGTGGTCACTTCCTGATAATCTAGAATTGAATTTGTCGCTGAGTTCCTGTCACCCTTGTCTGGGTTTTTGGAGCTGGGTTTACTCACTGAGATTTTGTTGCATTCTAGAATGCCAGCTTATTTTTCCTTCTGACTGCTTGACTGGCATGGTTTTGCATGTGATATCATAAAGGGATCCTGGGGCTTAGTAGTTGCAGTTACCTGGGAAACCTTGCTCAAATCTGTTCTGAAAATTTGGTGTATGTTAAGTCTTAGTTCTTGGAGAGCAAGAAACTGCCTGACTGTATTGTCATACTCAAGTAAGATTTCCTTGGTAACCAGACAATAAACTATTAACAGTAATGACTGTTGCATTTCCTATGCTTACTAGCATCGCTATTCATCGCAAATGAAGCAGCATCTGTATTTCCATTAATATCAGGGGGGTTTAATAATGGTGCCAGCATACTAGTGTTCTTAGGCAATCTTCTGATGCCAGTAATGTCATAGTAGTGATGTGCTAAATCTAGAAGCACTGTTGTTATAAATGGATGGATGTAAATGTGGATGTGCAATGCTGCAGCCTGGTTTAAGATTAAAAGGCCAAGCTGGAACTGACTATCATAATTTTAACTGAGTGGAGACTGGTGATGAGGAAATATAAGTATTTTGATAGCTTCCTTTATTAGTCTGATAAGAGTGTGGAGCAGGTGCATTGATAAGGAAGAAAACTGTAGCTTACACTTGTTCAGTATTAATTTCCAGATTTTTTTTTTTCCCCAAGAGCCTATTGTCTTTAAATCAGTCAAACCAAAGAAAAACGTGTGCATGTGTCATTCGCTATAACTAGCTTTGTCTTAAGTTCCAGTTTGGCTGCTTTCCAGATCATGACATGACTCATGCCTGACCTTTCCTGAGAGTCAAGTATGCTGCAAAATTTTGTTTATCAACATGAAATGAGATAATGTTTTTCAGAACAAAGTACTTATTTGGGTACTGGTTGTTTTTTCATTCCATACTTGAGTTGAGATTCAAGGACCTAATCTGAAGAAAAATTCTGTCATTGAACAAAATGCATGCGTATCTTAAATTTTCTGGGTCTGTTTTTGGCATAGCTTATCACTGGCTGGGAAAACATTTACTGCAGCATAATCTAAAGGAAACCTAATTTTTTGGTACTTTTGCATTATTCCCATACAAAACTTAATTTTGTTTATGTGAATATTAAGATCTTTTAATGCACACTATTTCTGAAAATGTTATTGAGAGGAAAAATTGCCTTAAGTCTGCTCTTTAACTTATTTTGAATTGCCTTTATTTAAAAGGAAACATTTTGTAGGAATACTTTGGGTTTTACTTTCAAATGTATCGAAGTTTGACTTAAATTTGGGGATAACTCCAGTGAATGTAATTGTTTTGCAAAAAAGTTCCTTGCCCAGTCATTCATGAAAATCTGCCTTTTGTTTTAAGAGCTGTTGCAACAAAAGACTAAATGCTGTAGTTAGGAAAGAAATTGCTGTCAGCAAGATTTTGACTCAAAAACCTGTAGGTTGGAGGAGTGCTGGAACCTCTTTCAGGAGTCATCTTCCACTTTCTCCCTGTCTGTCTCCTTATTATCCCTTTTCATTTGGAAAAAATACCTAGAATAATCTTAAAGAAAATTATTCGTATTTTCTTCCGTGATGAGACCAAATCCTTTGCTGTTCAGTCCTGTTTCTAAAATGCCATAGATGCACAGTTTTTCTTTCAGTACTCTTTCAGTACTACCTTTCCCTCTGAGAGTCACTCAGTTACTATTGCCTACTGCTCATGACTTTTCCAACCAGCAACTGCAGATAATGTTAGTGCAGTACTTGGTATTTACCTTTTCAAAATAAAAATTAAATTTCTCATAATCTTAAGGCAGAGCAATAGCAGGTGCACTGGAGCTGTCTGCAGATCAGTGAGATCCAACTACTTAGTTTTTGATTGAATCGAGTGAGTTGCAACTATTGTCTGGAAGTATGCTTCTGTAAGTGAAGACCTAAACTGACTTGAGCTCTGGAAAGCTACTTTTTACCAGTCTCTCTGATTCTGCTATCAGGATTGTTTGTCTCAGTGTATTAAAATGCTAGACAAGTATTTTAAGATGATGGAAAACATGGAAGCCACAAGTCAGTTTGAATCTAGGCTGCTGTTGAAAGGATCAGTCCTGCCTTCTCCCTTATCTGCCAGCTCTTTTGAGATAACACTTGTGAATTCATGTTGCTGCACGTAGACCTGATTTGCTTAAAAACTTGGTGCTGGTAAAACTGAAGTTTTATCAATTCGTTTGAATGCCACACAGAAGATGAATGTAGTTCCATTGCATACTTGTACAAAAGCTCTCCCTTCGAAAATAATCTTCAAAGGCTTTTTTTAGAAATATGGAATTAATAGCACCTTTAAACTTGCATCTTCATGGAAAGACTTCAGTTGGCATTATGGCAAGACAAGCTGAAATGGAATAAAATTTGTTAGTAGAAAGTTCTTATTATCATACTTGAAAATAAGAATTGTTGGGAATCTGTATTCATGTGAAGTTACTATACCTTAAATGTAATTCCTTATACCCTGTGCATACTGTAGTAATTTTACAGTTGTCCTCTTTCTTCCTCAAAATTGCTGTGTATCTGACAAATACTTTGGCTTTTGAGGAAGGTTCGCTTTTGTAACAGTGAATGGGGAGCAGCAGTATGGAGGACATAAGAGTTCTTGAGGGCAGGTACTGTCAGTCTAAATATCCTGAACTTATGCAAAAGGTGCAGCAGAAGGGACTTCAAGTTGTGCTTAAGTATAATGTGTTTTGTTGGGTTTGGTCTTGTTAGCTTATCTATAGTTGTATTGTATTTGTGACTTCATGCCTGATGAAAAATGTGTTTGGGTGTGTGTGTGTGTGTGTAAATCTTAACTGCCAAAATCCAGCACAAAACATGAGGCCAACATAAAGTTTTTGAAATATAAGTTGCGTTTAGAGAGTGTGGGTGTTAGCCAAACTTTTTAGAGCGACTCTGGCATGGGCACGGGTCTAGAACTTATGAAAGTCCTAATTTTGTTTTTAGTGCTGTGAAAACTAATACACTTACAGTAGTTTCATTTTCTGAATTAACATTTTTAGTTTGGTTGACTTGTCACTACTTCTGTTTTTTAGGAGTTTTTTTGAATTGCTGCTGTTCTTTGGAAAGGATGAGTTCTATGAAGATCCTTTGAAAGATATTTTAGGTTCAATCCAGGTAGTGTTGCCTACTTTCATATAAACCTTTAATATTATTTTAGTACATGTAAAGACAGTTTTTACGGATATATAACCTGGAGGACACATGCCATTATAGG